TTTGATTTTAAGGGGCAATTAGATTTTTTCTCATGGGCAGGTGTTGGAACAATTTTTATTTTGTTTAGATATACACAATATATGTAAAACAAAACTCCCTGTTGGAGAATTGCAATAAACATGTATTTTCATTAGCATATTTGTGCATCTACAGTTAAATTAGTTTTATAATAAATAGAGAACACACCTATAGATTTGATGTTAATATTTACTTTTAATAAAGCATTACTAGAAAAAAATAGCAGTGCTTCATTTTGCAGTAAAGTTGAACTGTTTGGTTAAGATAATTTTGTGTTTGGATGGCTGTGCTAATTGTTTTGAGAACAAGTACATTGCATTGGAGAAAAGTGTCAAATCGATTTTTAAATTCCAATTTGTTTATTTGAAACAAATGTAATAAAATGTAATAAATAAGTATTTATGATGGAATTGATTACTGATTAATGAATCAAGATTCTGTGCAACTGCATTTTGCACAAAGAGCACTGTCACTGCTTCTTTCCTCTTTCATGCATTCAGACTTGCTGAATCACACTTGTCACCTCAGCTACTTTCATTTTTTTTCTTAATTTCTCATTCTCACATTGTCCTTTTGTCCTCCTCTGCTTACCGTAGGGCAACCACACAGATCTCTGCAGCAGCACCAGCAGTCTGCCTTCAGCCAGACTACAAAATGGACGGGTCTGTCCCTCTCACAATCCCCAACAATTCATCTTTATTCCTTTCTTTAGAATTAGTTATCTTCTTCATTGTTTTATCTTATAACCCTTTCTTCCTTTTGACTGCTCCTCCTTCCCCAGTCATTTCACAGGAACTTTCAAACAAATGTCAGTAAACCACAACAGTAGGGTTCTGGACATGAAGAGATTATTTATTTTACTTGAAGAATGTGGAGTATTGAAATGCAATGTTATGAGCATATATATTTCTTCCTCCTCTCTCTGTGTGTTTTTAGCCCTCTGCGCTTTTTAGTGAACCCCCCCGTTCAAGAAGTCACAGGGTTTGTTTCCATTTTGTCATCTGCATGCAAATTTACTTGCAGATCATTTGGTCACTCTGTTTCATTTTGGTGAATACATGGCACATATATGAATGAACATAAAGATATAGTTCATCCAAAAATGGAAATTCTGTTGTCACTGAAACCCATATGACCTTCTTTTTTTTGTGTGGAAGACAAAAGGAGAGATCTAGTAGAATGTTCAAGCTTTTCTTTTCTATACAATGAAAGTGAATGAACAACACAGTCCCTTTCCCCATTTATTCCCTTTTGAAAAATAGGTGCGTTTCACTATAATGAATGTGCTTTTGTAGTGTACTTCAAATATCAATAGTAGGCCTATATAAAAAAGTAATTACAGATTACTTTCATGACTGTTTCACACTTAAAATGCACTCTGTAACATGAAAATTGACATTACAATTTTTTTTCTTTATTTTAGATCATGCTTTAATAATCTTTTTTCATGCTTTAAAATACACGTATTATGATGTGTTTACTAACATATTAAAGGACGTGTAAAGTACCTGATTATAATTTAAACTGCAGTATGATATTCAATGTTACATTTAAAGTTAAAATATTTTAATTTGTACTAACTGCTTATAATTCATTACAATGCAATTAACGAGAAAACATTTTCACAATGACTTCCATTCTAGAAAAGAGCTGCTTGAACATTCTGCTAGATATCTCTGTCTCTAGCTTTATGTTTGCTAAACCTTTAGAGCAAAATGCTACCAGAATTTTCATTTTTGGTTAAATTCTATTATTTAGGGGCATGTGTTGTCTGTGTTCAATCCCTCATGCAACCTGCATACAGTTTAGTAACCTGATACACAGAACTTCTTTGGTTACACGTGTTGACAAGTCTCTGGCTTCCAAAGCCTCTTGCTCAGACATCTAACGCAGCAATCAATTCTTTATTTAGTCATTCCATAAGTGCTCAGAGTACATCAGAGTGCATTAAGGTTGATGGCTAATGTGTTAACGTTCTGTAAACATGCAAAGAAGCTTTCTTTGCGCTCCTCTGTATGTAATGAGCATTTCCTGTCCTTGATGTGTTTAAAGTACATCTCCCCTGATTGTTAGCAGCCCTGTTAGATCTCATTTCATGGTGGTGAAGCATTTTGGATTAATAAAGCGGTCATTTAAAGGTCTTTATCGTCTTTTTAAAGTGTTTGTTGTGTTTTCCGTGGTTATGTTTGAGAGATATCGTCTGTAAGAGGTGAATGTAGTATGGTGAGGTGTTCTGTTCTGTCTGCAGGGGTCACTGCATGAAGAGAGTTCATACTCTGCCACTAGGCGTTTCAGTGGCTCCAGCGCTAGAGGCGTAAGGCCCGAACTTTACCTGTCTCTTTGACCGTGGCATGACCTGATACCCAATGCTACTCTGGGCTTGTTGAGCGTCTTGCATGGTTCTGTTTTCAGACCACAGGCTTGACTAGGTGTTGTTTGTGTCTTTGTTTATGTCTTGAAGTTTCTCTGAGGAAAGTTTGGGAGCTGTTTTTCCCCTATAATGAGAGTGGGATGGGTGGTGTTTGTACTGTATGTAAAGCATGGTTAATCATCTTGGATTGAATTTCCTTCTGTCTTTTGTGTGGTCAAAGTATGGTTGTTTACTAGTCATACAGACTGACTCTCCTTCGCACAGAAACCCGCTAACGCTGTGTGTATGTCAATGTGTGTTTTGACCTACAGAATGGGCTTGGTTTTACACTACTGTTCAAAAGTTTTTTGAAAGAAACTAATGCTGTTTTCAGCAAGGATGGATTAAATTGATCAAAAGTGACAGTAAAGACATTTATTGTTTCCAAAAACAAACAAAAAAGTTTATTTTGAACCTTCTGTTCATTATCAAAATCCTGAAAAAAAAAGAATCACAATGTTACTTGAGCACCAAATCAGCATGTTACAACAATTTCTGAAGGATCATGCTGCTGAAAATTCAACTGGGCCATCACAGGAATAAATTAAATTTTACAATATTTCTGTTTGCACTGTATTTTTTGATCAAGCCTCGGTGAGCATAAGACACTTTATTCAAAATCATTCAAAATCTTACTAACCCCAAACTTTTGAATGGTAGTGTATATGAGACTGTGTACTTTCTGAAACTTCGTTATACTTGTCAGTTCCTATATATTTTCCCTTATGCTCTCTTCCTGCTAACATCTACTCCTCATCCCATTTTTCTCTATACCTGCATTCTGGTCAGCCTTCAGACTACAATGGCTTTCTGGGCTCCAGTTCCAGGGCCTCCTCTAGGGCGAGTTCAGCCCGTGCCAGTCCAGTGGTGAGCTTCCCTTTTCGTTTTCTGATCAAGCTTTAGTTCTGCAGTTTCAAGGTCACATCTGCCATCCTTGTAACATATAGAGATCCATGGCAAAAACTGACCTGCTCTCTCGCTCCTCTGCATATCCTGTTCCTCTCACTAAAATCTTCAGTATCATGTGGAATTAGCATGAACCTTGTTTGTGCCATGCTCCCTCTAGTGGATAAAGCATGGAATATATCTCTAAATGGCCCAGTATTGTTTTAGATCCTGAGCATTTCTCATTTAATTTAGACATAAGAAATCTGGATGGTTTTTCAATGTAGCATCTACTGAACACATTCCATTTTTTTCATTCAGGTGGAGGAAAGGTCAGATTTCCTGGAAAAGGTGAGTAGGATCATTTTTAGGATTTTGAATAGATTCACAAACATCACGGTAGATAATACCACAACAAAGTTATCCACCAGACCAAGTAAATATTTTAACTACATCCTCAGGGGTCCAGGACAGCCTCCACCCTCTCTGCTGCAACTCTGGCATCTCTGGGTGGAGGTTTATCACGAAGAGGAAGCTGTGATACCTCAATTTCAGCGGACACTGAGGCCTCCATACGGGAAATGAAGGTCATTTTGAAAGTGTATTTATAATGCTGTATTAAAATGACCATGGTCTGTATGTAATTTCCTCATTTTTGTTTGTCTGCTCTCAGGACTCCCTGGTGGAGGTGGAGGAGAAATACCGTAAGGCAATGGTGTCCAATGCTCAGCTGGACAATGAGAAGACAAACCTGATGTATCAGGTGGACACACTGAGAGACACTCTGATGGAGCTTGAGGAACTTCTGTGTGAGAAACACAGAGAGTGTGAGGAGAAAACCAAAGTAAGGGCTGTCAAGTGGTGAAATCACTTTTTTTAAAGAAAAAATCCTCTAGAATAATTGACCCTTTTACAAATGCATAATTGTTTTATTTTTGTTCAATACAAAATATTAAACTGATATAGTCATAACCAAGTATATATTGAGCATATCTAAATATATATATTTTTATTTATTATTAAAAAGCATTAAATCAAACTTTAAGTCAAAATTCCATATGAAGTGCAAAGGGATCATTTTGACCCCTTTCACGAAGAATTAGAATAGTGAAACAAAAATTATGTTGTTATCTTTTTCAGAACCTATGACCAGGAAATGTATTATTAACGCTGCGGAAGCTCACATACAAGTTTTGACGTGCAAGAATAATAAATAGATAAAATACCCCAAAATTCACACTCTTATCGGGTCAGTTTGACCCCCTTTGTGCATTCACGTGTTAAGACTAATCATAACTAAACTAAGTGGCAGTGTTTTCTGTTATATTACGAAAACAAATAGCATTTCATAAACAGTTAGGGTGGTTTCAATACTAAATCGGTTAGCAGAGGAGGGCACACAAAGATATCAACAATCAATATACACATAGAAGTAATGTGAGCATCAGAAAATGATAAGTAGATTGTTAATATACAAGAAATAAACTGAAATGCACACAATCATAAAGATGATCATTGTGAAGTCAGAGTATGCAGTGGCCCTTTAATTCTGAGAAATCATAGAATGACTACTGTTCAAATAACTGTGATAGTGACTACTAATAATCAGGAATTCAAATTTTAGTGCATACTTCATCAATTATGTGTGTGTTTTTTATTTTTTTTATTTTAATGTATGTTAGGACTTCGAGCGAGAGCATCATGCCCACAATGTCTTGAAGTTCCAGTTTGAGGAGATGAAGGAAACCCTGAAGCAGAGTGAAGAGTTGCGGACGGTGAGCATCACCAGTAAATGATGGAATAGTCAAATTCTTCCTTGCGTAGATGAATTATGTGTTATTCTGTTCTCTTCTCTCACATTTTCCTCTTAATATTCTTTGACCTATCCCTGTTTTCCTCTGCTTACCCTCATGGCCGGGGCTCAGGAAGCCCAACAGTCTCAGGGAAAGCAGACGGACTATATTAGAGAGATCGCTGACCTGCAAGAAACATTGGAATGGAAAGATAAAAAGATCCGGGTACAATAACCTTCCATGGCCATTTTCCATTAATCATGTCACATTAAAACTCTTCTTTCTTTGTATTTTAACACTTTTTATCCTAAATATTTTTATTCCCCCTTAATACTTATTAACTTATTAACCTATTAACTTAATGCTTAACAGCTGAATGCTTGATACTGTCACATGACCCTTGTAGTCTTTCCAAACCTTACGTGTTTCCTTTACTCCTCTGTTCTTCCTTTCCTTGATTGTTCACGTTTGTGGACGGCTGCATTAAGGCCTTAGAGAGGCAGAAGGAATATTCAGACATTATCCATGATGAACGGGAGGCACTCAGGAACGAGGTTTGCCGGCTTAGGGATGCTCTAAAGGTAGAGATATAGAAGGAATACTGGCAATCACAGCCAAGAAATAGCAGTCATTATATTAGCATTATTATTTTGACTTTAAAGGATCATAATAAAGTAATGGAATAAATGGGAGATTGAGATCAGATTGTATTCTTTCACAGAAACATGGCATTATTCTGGGATCTGAGGTGACGGCCAATGGGGAGTTAGCAGACAGGGCGATTGATGGGCATGCTGATGCGGAAACAGCCTCCCGATTGAATCAAGACTCTCACACGCCCACTATGAGTGGAGACAGCATGTTAGGTAAGACAAATGGTTACCAGATTTTTAAAAAACACATAATTAAGCATTTTAAACAAATCGGCTATTGTAGCTTATTTGTACAGTATCCAACTTAACTGTAGTCAAATTATATGCATTTTTACAATTTAGCTTTTATGGTATTTTGTTGCTACACATTTGCAATGTTTTATTTAATTATAGAAACCATTATCCTGCAAGAAAAGCAAAAACTAAATGAAAACATTTAGTGAAAACCTAAAGTAAATGAGACAAAACTAAGCAAAAATGAAAACATTTGTGTTAAATTAAATAAAGATCAAATAACTAAATAAAAAAACATAAATAATAACACTAAATGATAATGCATTTTCTCCAAAACTAAGTAAAATGAAATGTCCACAAATTAATGTTGGAGTCAGCTTTCAATATATTATAAAACATGAATCCAGCTGCATTAAACATGAAAATGCCACTAGATAGCAATAACACTAGACTCTGCTGAAAAAAATAATGCTATTAAACATCTTTAAATTATACCACTTAACATTAACTGAAAAATATTAAAAAATAAAAAAATATTACAAATTGGTTAACATTAACCAAAATATTAAACTAAGATAAAATCAATAAAAAAAACTCAAAGACTGAAAAAACACCCCTAAAACTAACAATGCTAATGAAAATGTAAAAAATTTAAAACTAAATAAAACTGCAAAACTGTAATACTGATCTAACCTTAAATGAAAACATTTTTTCCCCGGTGCCCTTTGTAAATATTAAACTGCCTGTTTGTTTGATTAAATGATGCTTGATTTGCTCCATTCTCAATATATCCAGAAATGTAAATTTTTAGTTGTCAACAACAACAAAATCAATCTTTATTTTTCCACATCTGAGGGTATCTCTGCTGGAATTCTCTCTTCACTGATCAGCCTTTAATTCAATCAAGATCAACTCTGCCATTTGCTTAACAAAATCAATTCAATTATTTTCAGTGTCTTTCTGTTTTAATGGAATCGTAATTGTGATTCACTCTTTGAATCCAATCAAGAGTTGTTTTTCATCTGGTATTTCATCTCAATCTTAGTAATGTTGCAGGCAGAGCTTCATAAATGCACATCATCTCAAGCACAGAGTTAGAGATTACTCAAAACTATGGTGAGACTTCACAGTTGGTGGAGGGAAATCTTTTTGGTGTTGTTTCTTTGTTATGAGGAAATATTGTAAATGAGGAAATATTTACTGTATACATCCCCCAAAAATAAGTTAAAAGAGAGAGGACTACAATTTCTGAGGCATTTTCTACAATTTTCTTTGCTATCTGAAGTGGTCTACTGTTAAAACCAAACAAAACAGGTCAGAAGATGAAAGATACATTGATTCAAGTGCAGAAACTTCACCTCATGTGCCGCTATAATTATTTAAACCTTAAAATCAGATAATATCTGAAATTACAGTATATGAACCACAGAACGGTCAAGCAGAGAAAAATAACTGCATAGAAATCAATGCTGGCATTAAAACCTCTAAAGATCTATGTTTGAACCCACAGAGTCTAATGAAGTGGATATTTTTAATACCACAGGAGACAATGATGCACAATCCAGGAACCAGCCAGAGACAGAGGCTGAGCCAGAGTTACAGTTTGTGGAGGACACATATAGCATGCCAGTAGAGCACAAGGGCACAGCGTTCTTTCTCGATAGTTGTGAGGAAGCTGTTGCGTTGGATGCTGATCTTTTAGTGCTGGATGATGTAAATAGGCATATTACTGTACCAATAAAAGAAATCACGAGTGGACTGAGTATAGAGAATAAAACACAGAAGTTCTTCAAGACCAAGCTTAAGATGAAGAGGATCTTTAGCTGCTTTGTGTCATAATTTTTTAGAGAATAATTTTAATTCGCTGATGTTTATGACAATATTATTTTGATGTAATGTTGCAAAATGTACTTTAAATCCTCCATGCAAATGAGACCGATCAAGACATGCAAAGGCTGTTCAAATTCTTTCAATATTCTAAAATTAAAAAGCTTGATTTAAAAAAAAAAATTCTCATGGAGGACATATATATATATACAGTGTTATATGCAGAAAATGCATATACAATTAAATGCATTGTGTTTTGCAAGAAAAGTGTACTTTTTTCATGTTTACCAATGCTGTAATTGTCATCATACATGTAACACCACAAATAAAAAGCAAATACCAAAAATGTTTTGTTCGAACACACATACAAATGTAATAATAATCATGATAATGATGATGATGATATTAATAATAATAATAATAATAACAGCCCCATATACACATTTTCTATTTATACACAATGATATATTAATAATAAATACAATATTATTGATATGTAGGCATTTTTAATTGATTACGTGATATGCTGATCATTAAATTAATTAAATAATAAAGCTTTAAAAAGACATTATAAACATGGCTTTAGAAATTAATACATTGTATATTTCCTTATTTCTTATGACCACAGCAATCTATTTTGCAATCCAGTCATGCATTAGACAAATATTTATAGTCATGTTAACTGCATTTTTTTGTAATTCATTGTAATAAATTAACATTTTTAATTGACTGACCAATTTGTATACTTTGTGCTGCAAGTTTTTGTTTGTTTGTTTTTTAGTGCCTACATCATCTCGTTGTATGTTACATTGCCCAATTTGTTTTTATGAGGCTCATGTGCTGAATATTTTTTTTTTATTTGCAACTTTCAGAGATCAGATTGAGGAAGCTGGTGGAAGAGAGAGAGAGTTTGCTCGACCAGGTGAGTTTTGTCATTTCATACTTTTCAAGTGATTCATTGTTATACGTATGATTAATATTGTAGGAGAACATTTTGTGAAATACCTGTAATGCCTGTCATAAGGACTTTGTTAGGATGACTAATCTGTGTGTGAATGTGCAGGTGCGGAAGTATAAAGCCATTGCAGAGCAGAAACAAAAGAATGGGACAGAAGAAACAGGAAGCACAGATGAAGATGACCTACAGAATGGTCTGGACCCTCATATTCTAGATCTGCAGAGTAAGATACGCCTTTACATTTTATTCACCATCAGTCTTAATTAAGGCTGGTTTGTAATGTAGAGTTTTCATGTGAACTCTCAAATCTATTTCAACTTATATTTTCTACAGGAGATGCTAACAGGCAGATCAGTGACCTTAAATTCAAGCTAGTCAAGTCTGAGCAAGAAGTCACAGCACTTGAACAAAACGTAAATCAATTATACAATTAACACTTTCTATCCAAAGGCACAAAGTGTACTCTTGCATGCAATTTCATCATCAGTAGTTCATAATGTTCTCTTTTTATGTTTAATCCTCCTTTATGCACTGTTAATTTTGTTCCTCTTGTGGTACAAACAGTTCCACAGGAAATGATCTGACATTATTTCATGCATAATCTGTAATCTCTGTCATGTGGCAGATCATTCGGCTGGAGGGTCAGGTGAGCCGCTATAAGACGTCTGCTGAGGCTGCAGAGAAAGTGGAAGATGAGCTAAAAGTGGAGAAACGCAAGTTGCAGAGAGAGGTACACTAAATTATTAAAAAAGAAACCCACTAATATTCCAAACAATTTAGCAGCAACTGCAACTTTCTTACACTTAAAAATATTGAGTACATTTTATAGCTGTGAAATCAATGAAATATGCCTTATGAATTGAATAAATGTATGTAAGAAATGTAAATAGATCTGAATAACTACATTTGGTGCCATGACAAATGAAAAGAATAAGTTAAAAGAATAGTTCACACAAAAATGAAAATTTGCTGAAAATTTACTCACCCTCGGTTAGGGCTGCATAATAAATCGAAATTAAATCACAATCAAGAAAAGCTGTGATAGTCATGCGCATCTTGTCAGTGAAGCGCGGTTCTGTGATCAGTAGTAAATCTCTATTCGAAGGCCAGAGGGCGCTCTCCAAATACGTCCCGCAGAAGAAATCCAGGAAATCTCTATAGCGGTTGCTGAATAAACAGAAGATTTAACTGCTTTCATTGATTCAACGTGACTAATAAACACACGACTATGACAATATATGATTTCTATGAGTTCTTATTATAATTATTATTATAATTTTCATTATAATAAAGTATATAATATGTTTAATCCTCCTTTATGCACTGTTAATTTTGTTCCTCTTGTGGTACAAACAGTTCCACAGGAAATGATCTGACATTATTTCATGCATAATCTGTAATCTCTGTCATGTGGCAGATCATTCGGCTGGAGGGTCAGGTGAGCCGCTATAAGACGTCTGCTGAGGCTGCAGAGAAAGTGGAAGATGAGCTAAAAGTGGAGAAACGCAAGTTGCAGAGAGAGGTACACTAAATTATTAAAAAAGAAACCCACTAATATTCCAAACAATTTAGCAGCAACTGCAACTTTCTTACACTTAAAAATATTGAGTACATTTTATAGCTGTGAAATCAATGAAATATGCCTTATGAATTGAATAAATGTATGTAAGAAATGTAAATAGATCTGAATAACTACATTTGGTGCCATGACAAATGAAAAGAATAAGTTAAAAGAATAGTTCACACAAAAATGAAAATTTGCTGAAAATTTACTCACCCTCGGTTAGGGCTGCATAATAAATCGAAATTAAATCACAATCAAGAAAAGCTGTGATAGTCATGCGCATCTTGTCAGTGAAGCGCGGTTCTGTGATCAGTAGTAAATCTCTATTCGAAGGCCAGAGGGCGCTCTCCAAATACGTCCCGCAGAAGAAATCCAGGAAATCTCTATAGCGGTTGCTGAATAAACAGAAGATTTAACTGCTTTCATTGATTCAACGTGACTAATAAACACACGACTATGACAATATATGATTTCTATGAGTTCTTATTATAATTATTATTATAATTTTCATTATAATAAAGTATATAATAATGCAATGCTAATCGACATAGCCTTTATCACTGCTTAGAATATGAAATATGTTGCGCGCCTTATTCTGTTTAAGAAGCCACATCTCACAGAAGGATTTATTTCAAACACTCGACTGACGTTATGAAGTGAGCTTGGAGTAAAAACATGTTATTAGATGTGGTATTTTCACGTGCTTTCAGATGGAGCAGCATTTACTACACAGAGCCATAGTTCACTGAGAAGCTACACAAACAGCTGTCATTATCGCAGAACGATATCTTCGACTTCATTATTGCGCGATTAAATCATCTGCGATAATGAATGCGATATTGTGTAGCTTGCCAGTGAACTGTGTGTAGTAAATGCTGCTCCATCTGTTCTTTTCTTTTTTAATGAAAAAATGAAAGTCAAGTCACCTTTATTTACATAACGCTTTATACAATACAGATTGTGTCAAAACAGCTTTACAATATTAAACAAGAAAATAGTGAGGCGATAATGCAAGAGGACAAAACATGCTATTTTGCAGTTAAAGTCAGTTCATCATTGATTCAGTGATGTTATCGTCCAGGGCTGCGTTTCTCAAAAGCATCGTAAGCTTAAGTACATCGTAGACCCATTGAAACCAATGGAGCTACGATCAATTTAGGCTTACGATGCTTTTGGGAAATGCAGCCCAGCTTAGGTCAGTTCAAATAGTATCTGACACTTAAGTGATACTCAGAAATTCTTTTTATGTAATTTACAGTCACTGATTTTTTAGAGTGTGATGTAACAAGTGCTGTGTTTATTCTTTAGCTGAGGTCTGCACTTGATCGTAGCGATGAGCTGGAAGCAAGCAACAGCCACCTTACGAAGAGACTAGAGAAGATGAAGGCCAATCGGAGTGCTCTTCTGGCACAGCAGTGACGCCCACCTGTGCCCACTCATCACCCACTGGCACCAATGATCTGCCACCCATAATACACTAAAACTTCTATAAAAATCATACCAAATTAGCCCAATCATGCTAATTCAGACTTAAAAAAGTAAATATGGCTGACAACCTCCATTTGTTTGCTAGTGGGATTCCAAGCGGAAGACATATCAAAAACTAATTCTTACTGAGGCTCATTAAAGTGACCTTTGGTTTGGATTAGCAGAATTCAGGCCCTCAAGGAGCTCTCAAAAAGTTTCTGACTGGTTACTGATCTCTGTGTCAACAGACCATCTCAGCAAAGGCCGAGCACAGCTATTGCAGCATGTTCCTTTATGGTAGCATGTTGGTTTAGTAAACCAGTCGTGAGGGACATGACTTATAAGCAGACCATGCACTTTATCCCTGCATCAGTATTCAAATTTTGTTACACGCAAGCTGTAACATATCTGTACACAGAACCGTTTTGCAAAATTAGGTAATTGAATTTGTGTAGTCTAGAGATTATATGTGACCCTGGTGCACAAAACCAGTCTTAAGTCGCTGGGTTATATTTGTAGCAATAGCCAAAAATACATTGTATGGGTCAAAATTTAAAAAAAAAATTTTAATGCCAAAAATCATTAGGATATTAAGTAAAGATCACGTTCCATGCAGATATTTTGTACATTTCCTACTGTAAATATATAAAAACGCAATTTTTGATTAGTAATATGCATTGCTAAGAACTTCATTTGGACAAATTTAAAGGTGATTTTCTCAATATTTAGATTTTTTTGCACCCTCAGATTCCAGATTTTTCAAATAGTTGTATCTCGGCCAAATATTGTCCTATCATAACAAACCATACATCAATGGAAAGCTTATTTACTCAGAATTGACACTTGAGACTGGTTTTATGGTCCAGGGTCACATATGATTGACATACAGAGACAGTTGTGTGTTTTCTTGCAATTTTTGTTTAGATGGGGAGTGTTGTTTACACTATCAACAACTTATCGACTTATTGCTATAAATGTCAATTTTGTTTCACGCCAAATCTGTGTGTGTGTGAGCGTGTTAGTTTGCGCATTGGTCCATACCTAGATAAGGTGTCTTCACAATGTTAGTAATTTTTGTTTTTATGCTAATGTTGATGCAATCAATTATTATAACTTTATGGAGTAAATTTGGGTATAATTCAGGCTTTGAAGGATTTGAATCATTGTCCTGTTACAAATGTTCTCAGCGCTCACTGCACTTAGTTTTCTTTGTTGCTTTATGAAAGCACTCAATATTTTTTCTCACATATCCAGTGGGCCAAATTATGAAAATATTTTTGTTTTATTTAATATGCAGGTTTAAGACCCCCTACTTACTTTCCGTGTATAAAAACCTACAGACATTGGTCATTGTAATATGGTTAGTAGAATTAGACAGTATGCACAGCTGATCATCAATACTGTTTCATGTCCAGTTTAAACTCAGATCATGGTGCAACTATATCATCTGAGGGCTAAATGGACATTTGAGATGTCACCAGCCTGAAAGAGTGATCTCACACAGCTCTGGACACATCTATGTGTAGCCATTCATCCACATTTGAAGGCAGTGAAATTGTGAAATTACAGTGAAATTGCTGTAAATACAGAGTTATAAGGAAGAAAAAAAATCAAACCTGCTTTAAAACCCAGCAACACAATTGTAGCTGTACAACTTTACAACAGCAACACTTCTTTAACAAAAAAGCAAAACAGCAAGACTTATTTGACATCAAAACAAAAATTTAAAAAAAGCTGTCTAATCACTCTCGCTGTACTTTGATGTCATACACAGAATGGTCTGTGCAGTGCTGCTTCAAGTCCTACACCTATTGTGTTTTATTAGGAGATGCACAACAGTTCTTCTGTGGCTTTATAGGTAATATTTTCACGTACACAATTTAGCAAAACCAGACAAGATTGTGTCTAATATATACCACAATATTAACTTCTTATTATTGACTTGTTATAAATAAATATCATATTCGCAACTGGTCAGTGTTCAAAAAATGCTGGGAAATCACTTCATGTAGCCCTACGTTCCCAATCCTGGTCCTGGAGAACCCCCAACACTGCACGTTTTTGGTGTCTCTCTTATCTGACACGCACATTTGAGGTCTTGGAGTCTTCACTAATGAGCTGATGAGTTGAATCAGGTGTGTTTGAATAGGGAGACATCTCAAATGTGCAGTGTTGGGGGTTCTCCAGAACCAGGATTGGGAACCACTGTGTGACGACTTTCTACTTCGAGGACCTTGATAGAAATGTAGTGGAGTGAAAAGTTCAATATTTGTCTTTCAAATGTAGTGAAGTTGAAAAATAAGTTCCCATAAAAAAATCATACTCAAGTACAGTACAGATACTCAAAAAGTGTACTTAAGTACAATACTCAAGTAAATGTACTTAGTTACTGTCTGCCTCTGGTTATTAATATGATATCTTAAGAGCAAGCCAACAAGATTCGAAAACGAAGTGTCTATTTACACTAAGTGCAAATAGCCCGCCTTGGTGGCAGAGGCTATTTACACTAGCTCCACCCACAAACGTGTGATATAAGACTAGTCATCACTATAAAAGATGGCCGTAAATGATTAGTTTCAGTGGCGTAGATGGTAAAGCGTATAACGTAGTTTTTTTTTTTTGACACGATCGACCCGAGTTCGAATCCGCCTTTTGCCAACTTTTTTTTCTCCCTTTCCGATGTGATATGAGCCTATAATATAATCTATAGCTATTTGCACTTAGTGTAAACAGAATCCATTGTTATTTACACTTAGCATCCATCACTATTTGCTCTTATAGTGTAAATAGCATCTATCGCTAAGAAAATATAATATTTTCACTTAGTGTAAATAGCATCTAATCTTTTTTGACAGCGCAAATAGCCGCTGCCATTTGAAAAATGGACCATGCTCCCTTTTAACATTAAATAACACAAATTTGAACAGCAGAGGGCAGCAGTGATTTTCATCTTCTAAATCACTTCCGCATTCTGGTGATCTTATCTATGTTAAAGGCACTGTAAATCTCAATCTCAATCTCAATCATATTGTTGGCATCCTCTGGAGAATTTATTATCTTTTTTTTATTTTTCCTTTATAGCCAATACACATTCAGTGTCGTTTTTCCTTAAACTAATATAATAATTCATTTGTATTATCTATCCTAAATAAATCTGTTCATGTGATGCTATGCAAAAACAAAAAGAGGAAGAGAGCAATAAGGAAGTACAAAAAGGAAATTAAAAGCCCAAATGGAAGTCTTTTAGATATGCTGGCCCTCACACACAGACAGCTGAACACTGGCCCCTGGAGATTTTACTTCTCTTATATATAACCAGCATAGCTCTAACGGACAGAAAATTGCACAGCAGGCCTGTCCTTTGATAAAGAAATCATCGAAAATATATTAATAGAAACAGTAATTGAATATGGCAGGAATTCATGTCAGATGAGTACTGTTGAATGTTGAGTGGCACATTCATACAACTATGATAACTATGATAGGAGGACTATGCAGGATGATGTTACACACACACACACACACACACACACACACACACACACATCAAAAAATCTTATTAGAACAAGAAGACATTAAGACTTATTTAAAGATTACAGTGCAGCCCCCAAACATTGATTACTTGTAATTTGTTATTTATACCAATATTTGACACTATCCTTCATACCGCTAGGTTTTACCTATTTGTCAGCAAGAAGTGTCTAATCATTTAAAATATACTACAATTTAGCATGATTACTTTTTTCTTTTATATATTTTAATAGTTACAGTACAGGTCAGAATAAGCATGTTATTTAATTTTTACATGAATATATCCGTTGCAATGAACAATTTGGATGTTTTATTTCAAGATATTTTTTTTTCATTGTATACAGGTTCTCTTATTCATAAACAACATATACTTTTGCATTGTTTATTTTTGCTATTCTTCCTCATTGCATATTTAAAAAAAAATACTTTTTGTCATACTTTTCTGAATATCCTTGTTATTTTGTCACAATCAGTAACAGAGAGAACCCAAATGCAGGTGAAGACTATAGGTTCATTAGAAAAAGCAAACTCAGCAAAAACAACAACAAAATAATCAAAACAATCAAACCTTAGCCAAGCAACAGTCATAGGCAGGAAAAATCTGGGAGGCAAAACCACAAAGGTGCAGGCTGCTGCTGAAGTCAGGACAGGCAAGCCTGGAGGGCCAAAGGTAGGTTGGAAGAGAGATCCGGTAGGCAAATCCAACAGATGACCCAAGACAAACAGGGTCACAACGATTTAACTGAGGCCTTGTTTGAATCAACAGCAATTGGCCTTTGTACAGTACATCTCTATTATTACGTTTGACGTAAGCACCAGCAGCATTTCATTCATGCTATCTGTAGATCTGATGAGTCAGAAAGAGAAAATGTGCACACACACGCCCCAGTCATGAACAATTGTATTTCAATGTTTATGAACCCTCCCATGTTTGCAAGCAGACAGTTAAGTATATTTCATTGACATGTCTTTAAACATTCTTTGGGACTGTGATAACTGCGTGCTAGAGATACAGACGTCATTAAACTAGAACTCATGATTGTGTAGTAAACAATCAATGTTTAACACAACACAAGTTCTTTATGTTTATGCCAGTTTTTCTTTCCACAATTTCTTGTATTTTCCCACAAATACATATTTTCAGACTTAGTCTTAAACCAGTTTGTCCAGTTAAGTCACAACATGCCTTTTAGTTTACCTTTGACACATACCAAGGTATCCTGTTAAGAGTAATACAATCACAATTCATCTGCTCAGTAGTTTATAATCATCTATCTGAATGTTTGAGCAAATATCCTGATACTGAGGAAACAGAATCACACCTACATTTGAACAAAGCTTCTCTGCTCATGCATGGTTGAAAATGGTTATAGTAAGGGTTTGGAGATTAGTATTAGCGTGAGTATTAATAGTAAATGTAAATATAAGATAACGTTAATATTAGATTGATAGGATAAGCAAATAAAAGGTAAAAAAAAAACACTTTTAAAACTTTTAATCTTGCTGCTAAATTCCTAAATAAACAAGACTATGGAAGAATGGAATTAAATGACATAGTATGCTTTTTATGTTTACAGAATGTGGTCATTAAGTACTTTTCAGTCCATTAAGCATTTTCTTTGTATGAGGGGAAAACACTTAACACATTGCGTTCACATTTTGGTCTCTTATGCATATCTGCACAAAGTATGCTGTCTTGGTACATTAAGCCACATTAGGCGTTGTTCGTGTTAGGCATTGTTCATTGTTCAAGTGACAGTTATAATCGCAAAGGTAATGTTAATTTTTTAACCAAACAAATTAAAACTTAAAAAAAAACGCAACACTCTGAAGATTTTAGCATGGTAATGGCTATGGCAATGTTAATGTATTTCAAGGGGTGGGAACCAAAAAGGCGTAAGTGACATTTTTGGTGAAATGGAGATATATCAAATGAAAGCTCTTGATGAGCTCTTTCTACTGCCAAAGGGAAACAAGGGAACTTTTAATAATTTTGGAGTTATTCATTAGAAACCAAAAGAGTTAAAGCGCTCATCGGATGAGAAATTCACTTTTACAAGCTGTTTGAACATAAATGTGTGTTGGCATTGGAGATTAGTATTAGCGTGAGTATTAATAGTAAATGTAAATATAAGATAACGTTAATATTAGATTGATAGGATAAGCAAATAAAAGGTAAAAAAAAAAAACTTTTAAAAAACTTTTAATCTTGCTGCTAAATTCCTAAATAAACAAGACTATGGAAGAATGGAATTAAATGTGTGCATTTTAAAAGTAAACCAAAACTCTGACAGCACATTCATAAATCATGAATAGCAAAAAATTATCAAATGCAAATTTGAAGATCATGTAAAATGTTGTATGCCTTTGAGTACTTTCAAAAATAAAAAAAGAGTGTTTTTTTCTTATTTCTCATTGAATATACTCTTTTGTTTCTTGAAGTTACATTCAGATTTTTTGTAGGTTATTTTAATATAAAAAAAAATATTTGTAAAAAATAACCAGGTTATTTTTTTCTTAATTGTCTTTCTATCTTGCAATTGTGCCCTTACATCTTACAATGTGACTTTTTTAAAACATTATTTATTTATTTTTACTCTGTGCTGTTTTCTAGTTTTCAAAAGTTTTCAGATGAAAAATCAGTCAATAAATTATTAATAAACATCATCAAGAGCTTTCATTTGATTTAATTTTATATATATATATATATATATATATATATATATATATATATATATATATATATATATATATATATATATATGGGGTCAGAACCAAAAAGGCGTAAGTGACATTTTTGGTGAAATGGAGATATATCAAATGAAAGCTCTTGATGAGCTCTTTCTACTGCCAAAGGGAAACAAGGGAACTTTTAATAATTTTGGAGTTATTCATTAGAAACCAAAAGAGTTAAAGCGCTCATCGGATGAGAAATTCACTTTTACAAGCTGTTTGAACATAAATGTGTGTTGGCAGTGTGTCTACACAACCACCCTATAATGATAAAAATCCAACCAGTGTTTTTTTTATCTACAAAAATCCTTACCCCTTTCTCAAATCAAGTCGTTCTCAGCTTCTTGTCTGTGTGACGTCACACAGACCCAGTCCCCTCCCACAGTTGTTGATTGACACTAGCGTTTCAGCACAGACAGGACTAGTGTTTTACCTTAGACCCGCCCTGAGTGAGCTGTCATCAGTCCGCCATTGTTTCGACGCCGCAGCAGGGCTGCGTTTCAGTTCACTTTTTTATGCCCTTCACTCGCTAACTTCCCTCCATCTCGTTTACTCGGATGTACGCATTGATTACGTTGCATGAGTGCCCACTACTGGCGGAACCCTTGGAATGGGCTGAATTGGAACGTCCAAAGCACTTGATCACTTATAATCCGCTATGGAGTTGGTTTATTGTTTACACATTTCCCCTTATGAATTTGTTTGGTGCAGCATTCTATATGTATATAGATATGCTTGGGCTGTTATTAATGTAAAAAAAAAATCATTTATATATTATAGAGTTGTCTGGGGTGGGGATAAATTAAACGTGATCTGCAATGACGTCATAGTCGTGTTGCATTGTGGTCTACAGAGCAGCCTGAAGTGTGCATGAAGCAGATTCGCTCCCTCGGTCAAAAATGAGGGGTCGAGGGTATGTCCATGTAAACTTCCCTCGCCCATTTGACGAAGTGGAACGCACTTCAAAATGGCGGCGGGGATTCCCCAGAGGGTAAGGGCTTAGGGAACTTTGCGAGCGTGTGTCTAAAAGTAAACTGGAACGCAGCCCCGATGTAGACCAGAATGACTCCTAATGGCAAGCTCACACTACAGGATTTTTTAGATGGTCCTCACTGCAGAACACAAGATCCAGGGGGTGAGGTTGGATCCAGATCCAACTCCTCCCACCTTACATATACCTAAACCTACCCGTCTCCACCCCCTGATCCCTAAACCCACCCATCTCCACCCCTAAACCTACCATCTCCACCCCCTAGATGTGGATCCCCTGCCCCCTGGATCTTTGTTCTGCAGTGAGGGGCTACTGGAATTTTTGGCAGATTTCCACAGTCTGTGACAAAACCCCCAGATCGTGACCAAATCGGTGCTCGTTGCGGTCGCCAAAGCTCGTTAAGTATGAGCAGATCAGCAACGTGATCCAAACCTGTCTTCAAAATGGCGGCGGGGATTCCCCAGAGGGTAAGGGCTTAGGGAACTTTGCGAGCGTGTGTCTAAAAGTAAACTGGAACGCAGCCCCGATGTAGACCAGAATGACTCCTAATGGCAAGCTCACACTACAGGATTTTTTAGATGGTCCTCACTGCAGAACACAAGATCCAGGGGGTGAGGTTGGATCCAGATCCAACTCCTCCCACCTTACATATACCTAAACCTACCCGTCTCCACCCCCTGATCCCTAAACCCACCCATCTCCACCCCTAAACCTACCATCTCCACCCCCTAGATGTGGATCCCCTGCCCCCTGGATCTTTGTTCTGCAGTGAGGGGCTACTGGAATTTTTGGCAGATTTCCACAGTCTGTGACAAAACCCCCAGATCGTGACCAAATCGGTGCTCGTTGCGGTCGCCAAAGCTCGTTAAGTATGAGCAGATCAGCAACGTGATCCAAACCTGTCTTGAGCTATCACAGACGCTACGACATTTTCAAACCTGTTTGATATTATCGCCATGTGATCTTGTAATGTGAGCGACACAATGACAAGGTGGAACTAATCCAGCCGATCACAGTACAGATGGTATAAACCAGGGGTGCCCAAACTCGGTCCTGGAGGGCCGGTGTCCTGAAGAGTTTAGCTCCAACCCCAATTAAACACACCTGAACCAGCTAATCAAGCATTTATGGGCATACTAGAAACTTACCAGCAGGTGTGTTGAGGCAAGTTGAAGCTAAACTCTGCAGGACAGAGTTTGGGCACCCCTGGTAGAAACACTCGTATCATGCATCTTTATGAACAGAAACGAAAAGCCACAAATTAATCAAATCAACTAACTAGAAATAAATTTAACAAACGCATAGATTGTGTAAATAATACCACGTTTCATTGTACTGTTTAATCACCTCCAAGCCTCACCTACAGAAGAAGTGAGTATAATTTTTTTTAATGAATCTTTGCAAATCACCTTTCCTAACAACGTGCTAGTTAGCAAGTTAAACGATGAATGCGGCTAAAGTTTACCGTCTCTCAGAGAGCAGCTCGGAAGAGAGGGGCAGGGTGAGCAGAGCTCATTAGCATTTAAAGCGGCATGCAAGAAAGAGCTGTTTTTGACAGGGTAAAAAGGGTGGTGTTTTACACTACCATTGAGAAATTTTAACCAGAGTACACTCTTAAGAAAAATGGTTCTAAACAGTACCAGAAAAGGGTTCGCCGGCTTGTAACAATAGCAGAACCCTTTTTTAGTGCTAAATAGAACCTTTTTTATAGGGTTCCATGTAGAACCATGCTTTGAAAATGCTATATAGGACCTTAATGGTGTTATAAATAACCTTTTTAATGATAGTTTCTCATTAATATTAGTATGTTAATATAATTAATATTAGTATTATTTGTATATATTATTTATTAATATTGTTTTTTACCCCTCTATCGGCCTGGTCTTATAATATCTTGCAGTGTCTATTAGGGTTTTACATAAAATCAACAACAACAACAATAACGTGTCAATTAGGTACTTTTTTTAATGACGTGAAATTGTAGCAAAAATGACAGTGTTCTAACAACAGTTAATAGCAGAATACATTAATGAATGACATTGGACATTGAACATAAATAAATGCTTAAATAAATAAAACAAAATAGAACATAAAATAGTGTATTGAAGACCAAGCTCCAGTGAAATATCTTCCCAATCCTATGATGCCTTGACGTTAATCATTATGTGTGTTTTGGTGTGACTGAATGGCGGTTTCTCTCTGCAGATGACGAGGTTGCAGGATGTGACAGCATCTGAAATGCACAATTGAGTTTAGATATACAATGTGTCTCCTTTCATTTGTTTATGTGAAAACAATTGTTTATGAAGGCCAAAAGTAGTATGTGAGCACTTCACAATGTTAAAAGGAAAAAGTTATATAAAGTCAAGAGATAACTGGGTATGTTTATGCATAAACCCTATTAATAAAAAACATCTAACAAAATGGACCAAAAATTCAATATCTTTGTTACTTACTTAGTGAAGAAGAGGAGAGTATCCTTACCTGAATAGAGCTGGTCACACTTACATGTTCTCTTAAACTAAAAAGAGAAAAGACATAGTAAAGCAATTAGCATTTGAAAGTTATAATTTATAGACATTTTAAGAAAGAAATTATTTACCTGTTGAGAGTGTGTTGACAGTCTGTGTAGTTGGATGGCTGAGCTCCAGAAAATCAGTAATGAGGCATCTCAGAGTGTAGCCTCGGTTAGGGTTTTACATTAAAACAACAACAACAATAACCACAACAGCAGCATGTTGTGTGAATTGTTTTTATTGACATTTCACAATTATCAGTGCTCTTAACAACAGTTATTAGCTGAATACATTAATGAATGACAATTGACATTGAACATGAATAAATACATAAAGAAGTAAAACACAAAATAAGAACAACAAATAGATGTGATGAAGACCAAGTTTCAGTGAAACAATTACAATCCAATCAATATGATGCCTTAAAGTCCATCATTTTGGTGTGATTAAGTAGCAATTTTTCTCTGCAGATGATGAGGTTGTAGGATGTGATACATCTGAAATACACAATTGAGTTATAGAGTTATAGTGTGTCCATGTGTTTCTGTAAAATTATGTTTATGAAGGCCAAAAGCAAAAATGGACAGTATGTGAGCCCTTCACAATCTTAAAAGAAAAAAGTGATATAAAATCATGGGATAGTTTTAATATTTATTGTGAATGGGTATGTTTATACATAAACTTCTAACAATATGAATGATAAATTCATTGTCTCTTTTACTTAGTGGAGAAGAGGAGAGAAGTTTCCACAGCTTAGCAGAGCTGCACACACTTATATGTGACCAAAAAAAAAAGATAAAAACATGTTTGCTTGGAAGCCAGTTACGTTTTCAAAAAGTTACATTTGTATTTAAATTTTAAGAATGAAATCATTTACCTGTTGAGAGTGTGTTGACAGATTTTTTTTTCTGAATAAATGTTACAATAGTGATCAATAAGTATACTGTCATCCATGTGTACAAATGTTTTATAAACGATTGAAATCAGTACACAAAGTCAGACCAAACTATGGTCAATTTTTGTTTTGGCCCTCCTGTAAAGTTGGTGAAATGTCACTTTCTATTATCAGACACTATCATTTACTGATAGCAGTTTGTCCATTTTTAGTTTGTGTTTAAGGTTAGTGAAGTACATGATTATGTCTCATGTGATTTCCTGATAGCATCATCTGAAGAAACTGGAGGGTCGACGGTTAGACTTTGACTACAAGAAGAAACGTCAAGGCAAGATTCCTGATGAGGAGATCAAACAGGCTGTGGAGAAGTTTGAGGAATCCAAAGAACTCGCTGAGAGGAGCATGTTTAACTTTTTGGAGAATGATGTAAGGAAAATTACTAATGAGAACCTTTAATTTATTTTAAAAAGTGATTATTTATACACTCACACACACACGTACATATATATATATATATATATATATTAGTGCTGTCAAACGATTAATCGCATCCAAAATAAAAGTTTTTGTTTACATAATATATGCGTGTGTACTGTGTATATTTATTATGTATATATAAATACACACATGCATGAATATATTTAAGAAAAATATATTACGTTTATATATTAAATATGTTTATATATGATATAAATTATATGAAAATAAATATATACATGTAAATACATGTAAATATGTTCAAAATATATGCTGTATGTGTGTGTATTTATATATTCATAATAAATTTACACAATACATACACACACACACACACACACACACACATACAGCACATTAGTGCTGTGGATTGCTGGATCGGCTTTCACCGTGGATGAAGCGGAGTCCAGCCCGGGGTCATCACATGTGGTTGCCACTCCTTCGTCAAATCCGCCGGGCACGCCGTTCTCGACCCCGCCGCCTCTGCTCACTCTAGCCCAGCCTCAGCTCACGCTAAGCAGCGGCTTCCGCTCACACTTGAAAGCGAAACTACTTTGTTTTGTCTTCCAAAAGAGGACACGACTACAGATCAGTAGTTAAGTTGTATTTACACCACTGTTCCAGAACAGTTTAACCCAAATATCCAGATGTGTGCAGTACATTTTATGGAGGACTGTTTACTGATCCTGGGAGAGTAGACTACAATGCCAGCATTCATTTAAAGGATTTGTCACTGATGATTCAAACGCAAGTTTTGGGCGGTGTCGAGTAGCGCTTGTTGTTTGTCATTTCTCCGATCACAAATGCAGACAGGGTTCCCTTTCATGGGAACTTCGAACTGCGTCCTCTAGGGGTCGCTATGGGGGACGCCTCGTCGTGACCCATGTCTGAAGCATACATTGAAAAAACACCAACTCGTTGGCCGGCGACAGCCATGACATCACTACCGGTGCGACTACAGTATAAATCGGTGCCGGGAGCTACACATCATCCTCTTCTTCGTCTTCATTGACTGTTCTGTTTGAAGCGTGCATTTCCAAGGAAAAAGTAAGAGCTATCTATTTATTATGGCGAGCACTAGTAGAGCATTTAGAAGGTGTGTGCATCCGTGTCAGCGCTATTTGACACCAGATGACACACGCGATCTATGTGTTGTCTGTTTGGGCGAGGAGCAGGCACGCAATGTCCTCGAGGGGGCAATCTGCGTGCATTGCGAGTTT